TACGGGCTATAAAACACGAGCCATTGGGGCTGTTGCGAAGTCGTCAAGGCCACGAACGGGCACTAAAAAATCGATATCCTTACTTCAATCTTTTTACCATGTGCGAATAAAACGCACTTAACATTAAGATTGGAGGAAGGGCGTCACAAAAATTCACGTTTTAAAAACCGTTATCAATCGGATTGCGCAACACTTTTGATGAACTGGTACTTACATAGTCGGCGAGGACGTCCACCTCCAACGTATCGTCGTTCAGGACGATGGTGTCTCCCGAGAGGTTGACAACGTCGACCTCCTCGTCATCGGTCAAGTCAACCACCAACACTACCTTACCCGCCATTTTCACTTGTACACACTGTCGACACTACAAGGACTCGGACACGACACGGTGAAAAAAGTTTCTTCTAATACCAGGTGTTTTCTTGGATTTCAAGAAACATTCAGTGACTTCAAGGAAGTTTCTTGAAAATCGTGCATATTACGAGATCGAGTCTTGTAACTTTGCGGTTTCAAGGTGTATGTCTTGAAATTCAAGACACTAATCCAAGACTCTGTCTTGAAGTGGCTGCGACGCTTAATTTCAAGTGGAAAACGTAGCAGACACTCGGTTATTGTGTAGTTTGACCCGTGCAACACCTGCGAATATGTTTAAAGGTTCGCTCTTCTCGAACTCATCTTTTCATTGTTTTCCTATTTCTCCCGACCGCATCTTTCCTAGTCGTGACGTCACGTTATGTGAACCCTAACCATGTCAGATGTCAGCAGCAGACGGGCTGGCCAAATTCCTTGTTTCGATTGATTGTTTTGGTCGTAAATGCGTTTTCCTTGTGCACCGACAGCACGACGATTCTTCAATTTCTCCGTACACCGTGCGTAAGTCACTTTCAACTAGTTGTGATGTCGCTTCGTTCCGTAATCCTCGCTTCGCGACACTTTCGTCAGCTGGCAATGCTTACTACTGTACCATAACCCCTCTCTTAACGTGGACTTGTCTTTTTGTGAATGCTTTTCTCGCATATTGTCGGCATTGGAAGCGATTTGATTTCACCCACACATCTCCTTGTAAAATTTTCGCTCAGCTTTCATTAAAACCTAAAAACGAAAATACTGCTTTGCCTGTGACAGACAATGCATATTGGCTTTGTTTTCTTCCCCCTTTTCCCTTTTCCCCCCACTTGTGTAAAGACCCAGAAATCATATTAAAGTAGCACTTATTCTTTTGTGTTTCTCAGGTACAGTCGAGTCAGAGTGTCGAGCTGGGGAAGATGTCACTCCATTCAGCCGTAACCTGTGCACTGAGTTACGCGATTTCTTGATATTGTAAGTGCAGCTTTGATTTAGCCTACTACTATTCTTATTTCACTGAGGGGACAGGTTGATCCCTCACTCACACCTTTCCTGCTTTTCTTTTCTTTTCAGGAGATTGGAACAACTCATCAAACAAATTATCTTGAGGGAACCCGTGGTTTTGTTTCCATTTTGCCAGCATTTGAGCGTCCATCCTTCGCTAGTTTTGTTTGGTGAGTCATTGCCCTTCTTTAGTAATCATGCTGTCCCATATGTGTTTTTTCTAGGTAAAGCATTAATCCAAACAATTCATTAGTTAAATGTAAATGTTTTGTTGTCTGATTTCAGTGTGGGAGATGACCCGTCAAAGTAGGCTTGCTGCTACCTCAATCTGACAGTGATTTCATATTACTTTAAAGTGGAGTGTTTGCCTGACTAATAAATAAGGTGTTTATCAAAGCATTTGTACCAATTCATGAGCTATTTATTTTTCCAACTCAACAACTTAGTTTCTGTGGTCATATTTTAATATATTGATATCAAACTACTCGCATGAGACTAGAAAGCAACCAGAAACAGACTAGAAGTCACAAATTTATGTGGACACAAATCTGATTACCATATAGTTACAAACTTATGTAATTAAAACTTAAAATTGATCAAAACTTAAGACAAAAATACTCTTTAACTGATAAGTCAAATAGCGGGTTGATGGGCAGACTAAAAGGTACTTAATTAATTTGATAAAGAAACTACTAAGAAAATCTGACAGTGCATAAAGTAGTTTAAAACAGGTAAAGCTTTTTGAAAATCCAGTTCAAAGTTAATCAATCAAATCTAAATTTGAAGACCATTGCTACAACTCAGGCAAATTTTGATAAAGGGACGAATGTCCACATTTTTGCTAAATTGAGGTTTTTATGTCATCTGGAACATAATTTTATTCCACATATGTAGAACAAAACGGCACATTCATATCTATCATAGTTCCAGAGTTACACACATAGCATAAAAGGACGTATGTCCATGAGTGATATGACAAAACGACGAATGTCCATAGTATTTTCAACAAACGATCAAACAATTTGACAAGGAGACGAATGTCCATGAGCCAAATGGTCAAATTGGCGAATGTCCCAATAAAAATTTGACAAAAGGGCGAATGTCCATATGTCATTTAGTCTACATGGCGAATGTCCCAATCAAATTTGACAAGACATTCACCACTTTGTCAAAGCAGTTGTGGACGTTCGCCTCTTTGTCAAATTGTTCAGGGACATTCGCCAATTTGACCGATTAGGATGTGGACATTCGTCCTTTTGTCAAAATTTATACCTGGCAAAAACTGGCGAATGTCCCTTATCTCCCCTTCTATTCAAAATAATGACACAAGCTAAAAAGCAAAATTTAATGCAATACTAAAGAAGTATTTAAGATAACTATCAAAGGTGTGGCTTCAAACCGCTATCTTGCAGGTCAAAAAAGAACCTTATTTCCTCTCTCCTGAAAACTTCGCGGGTTTGGACATTCGTCCCTTTATCAAAATTTGCCTGAACTGTAGTCAAAAGACTAACTACCTACACATTTTAAAAAAGGGTTGAATAGAAGTTTGTTAGTTTTACAAGTACCATATGTTTCTCTTTGTAGTAAATTTATATAAATGTCACGTTTTTTCAATATCAAAGCATTTAGTGCTTAACATTTCTTGAAATTTCTCCTCACTTTTCACTACCGTAGTACTGGCCGACCAGTTCCCGCTCATTCATCCCGCCATGCTCAAACGGCTGGCGCAACTTTGAACTCTGTCGAACCGAAAGTTCTCTCTAATTAGTTCTTTGCGCTTTTAATATCCGTCGTTTGCAATGTCTTTTTTGTCGCGGTCGAGCTCTGCTGAAGATGTTGTGGCTTTTCTCTATGCGGCTCCCTCTGTGACAGATGATACAGCTCAAGCAATCTATGGTATGTAATGCACCCTAAAAGTACTTTAAAAACCTAAATGGTATGTCAAGTTTTGTATTTTGGCATGCTACTTTTTTAGTGCGAGGCTTGAGACTTTGTTGGGTATTTCTAACAAGAGTCCTGTTGATGTTTTTAGATTGATATCTTTTTGATTAAGACCTTTTCTTGATAATTTATTTGGCCATGGATGTTGTGAACTCAAGTGACAGTGGCAGTGAGCTAGAGGAGGAAGATTTGAGGCCTGCTGGAATTGATTTGTTGCCTAATGGACGGTTAAACATGAGACATGCTGCAGCAAATATGATTGTCGAGATGAGAGGAGTGAGTGCCATGACCAGGGTTGGTGTCCGGAGAGCCATGAGAACTTCAGATCTGATACAGAAGGTTAACAATATGAATCTAAAAGAGGATGTTTCAACCTATTTATCTTCCGTCAATTTGTTACTTTTTATCTTAGATCAACAAGAACCACTGAAGATCTTCTGTTAAAGGCGTTTGATCTCACAATTAAGGCTTATTACTGCTTTAACTTAGACTACCACCCATTTATAAGAACGGCATACAACTTTGTTGAAGTCCTGTACAATATCAGCAAATCTAATAATGGTGCAGTAACTAAACTTATGAATGCTCTTAGAGCC